AATTTGAGCAAAATTATAATTTAGACGTTTTATTAATGCAAAAATTAAAATTAAATAAGTTTTTAAATGCCATTAGATCATTATTAAGACAAAAATAGTAATAAATAAGTCTTAAAATTAAATATTTCGTTAAAATTTACTTAACGAATTATTTTTTTAGTAGCTTCTATAAGGCGTCATTACTAAGTTTTAAGCAATATTAAAAAAAATTATTAACTGTTTAACTCATATATTTTTGAAAATATTATAAATAAGGATTAAGTAAAATTAGGCTACATTAAATATAACGTGAATTAGGCGAGAACGATGTAGAAAACTTTTTAAAAAATAGGAGAAACTAGTTATTAATCATTGTCATTTAGAATAATACCTCTCAAAAAATCATTAATTATTTAAGATCTGTATATTTCTATTGCTGGTAGATTATAGAGGCTATAAAGATAATTTATAAAAGTATATAACAATATATTTTGCACATTTAAACCAGTTCTGTACATTATAACACACGACACTAATCAACATTACAAAATGTTTTCTGCCTAGAACGGAAGAATAATAATTACAAGATAGTAACAAAAGTTAATTGTATTGCCAATAGATAATTGTAATTAAGTAAAGTAAAGTAAATATTAAAGTCCAGTTTCTTTATTAAACGATCGATTAATGAAAATTGTATCATTGAACATAATAACAGTAGGACTGTATCAGATGCCAAATCAAGTGACACCGGTACAAGTTTTCCAACTGATGAATATTCTAAAGGTAGTAACGACGACTCGATCCATCATTTGTACACATTGTGGTATGCAAAGACATGCTAGACCTGTGACCGGAATGTCAAATCGAACGATTCTTTAAGTCATCGAATAAAATAATCATCCATAGAAACTTGTCATCTGCATGAATTCAAGAAAATTTATTGATGAGCTTGAGTACTGTGCCATGTCAAGGATTATTACATTAGTTGTAGAGTTTAATTGTTTTTATAGAAATCATATTTACAGAATATTAATCCTGTTAGGCATATTCCTTATGATAAACATCATAATTATACTTGTCTTGGAATTATTTTCTTAGAAGTTTATTCAGTTTTGAATATATTAGTGGTATATACATCAGAATATATGCTTAATATTGAGTTAGTTGTTATTACATATGTTAATTATCTTACATTAAAAAGTAGATATTTTCAGAATTTCGTATTATATTATAACTTAAAGTAATTTTTCTAGGCTTTTAAATTAAACTTAATCATATCTCGCATCAAATATGCGATTTTTGTAAATACAAATGCTAATATTTAAATCTAATATACAAGATATACATATTATTAAAGAATATAAATATTTATTACGTTATTTAACAGTAAAATACTGGCAAAATTATATATATTCTTTTCTAATATACAAGATATACATATTATTAAAGAATATAAATATTTATTACGTTATTTAACAGTAAAATACTGGCAAAATTATATGATAGATACAGTTTTTGCAACGTGAATAGTAAGACATTTAACACAATTCCATTTATGAGAATACATTTCCTTTGTATATAGCACATAAAGTAACTTAAAAAGAATGCAAAAATAATAAAAAGTAAGTTAAAAACTATTATCAAAACCAGAAAAAATTAATTTTAACATAAAATTTCGTATGCAAAACGCAATATAAATGACACAATAAGCCATTATAGTTAACATTACATAGGATGAAGAGAGAAAACCACCAACGGACAGGTAGACTCAGACGTCGACGTCTACCTCGGATCCGAAGGCTGCAAATCAGAAAACGGAGATTCACCAACAGTTAATGGTATCAAAGGAGAGCCAGTCTCTCCTAAACCAAGCAAATTAAGTAGTTTGTTGAATGGTGAAGAATCGTCGTCTCCGATTCGTGTTAAACAAGAACAACTTTCACCAGAAGTATCCTCTCCTACACCTGTCGATCTAGTGAGTGTTCCTCTTCCACCGGTCACAACCGTGGTCACCCGACAGGTTATTGACTCGAATAAGAATCGTGAAATGCAAGCCGTGGGTGCCACTGTGGTCTCTTTGGGTGATACCAGTCCAAATCACACTTACGGTACACAAGTTTATGCCAATATATCTCAGTCTCCTTATCCAGATGGACTGACTGTACCTCAATACGGGGTGCTCACGAATGTGGTTCCTGTTTCCAGTCCGTCGCCACCTCAGTACAGTAGTCAGAGTTCAAGAACTGTTTACACTTTGACACCGAGTGATTGTTATCGAGATTATTACTCCTCTTCCGATCAGTATCAGACTGTTCGACAGCATCTCGCGTCTTATTCCGATCCTGCAGATAATACATTCGTCGATCGATTCATTCGCCATAATTCTAACTACAAAACTTCCCTTCATGCCTTAGCTGTCGATCTACATTCACCTGATAGTGGTATAGGTGATACGACCATCACTCCAAGAGATAGTAGCGGGCTTCCACAGGTAAGAATAGACTCTCCATTTTAATATATTTAATGCAATATTTAGGTTAAATTTTAACTTTA